CTATCTATCTATCTATCTATCTATCTATCTATCTATCTATCTATCTATCTATCTATCTATCTATCTATCTATGCCTTTAAATCAGTGTTGATGCCTAGCAATTGCCTGGACTAGTCCCTGCAGTTTTCTGGGCAATATTTCAGAACTGGCTTGCCATTATGTTCTTCCTAGGGCTGATAGAGAGTGACTGGCCCAAGGTTAACCTGCTGGCTTTGTTTTAAGGCAGGACTGGAACTCACAGTCTCATGTGTTCTGGCCTGGTGCCTTAACCACTACACCAAACTTGCTTTATTTATATTTGCCAAATAATATATATTTGGCAAATAATGATGGGATATATATCCCATATTTATTTGGCAAAAATAAATCATTTGACTTCTTACCAAGTTGCTTCTCTCTTCTATAAGATTACTAAGGCATGACACTGATTCTTCTGAAGGACTTCTTAGGTAAGAAGATGGGTTTGAAAATAGAAAAGATTTTCCTTTCTTTAATATTTGCATTAAAAACAGAAATTCAGCTGATGCAACTTTCCTCATTTCCATCAGACACCCTTAATCAATAAAGACACAGTGCCCATCCAATGGAGACAGAAAAGAGGGCATAACTTATGTTTGGTTGGATGCCTAAGGAAGTCTAATGAAGAAGTTTGTAAAGGTAAATATTCATTTCTTCAAAGAAATTTAGTCTATGATCCATATATTTCATTGCCTAGCAACATACATCTCCTGTGGTCCTCTGGCTCATAGTGAATATGTGTGCTTCATATTATCTAGAACTTTCGCTGTTGAAGAATCCATTTGTGGTTGACTCCATCAGCTGACAGTATAATGAAGAACCAGACAACTGTGCAGAATTCATCCTTCTTGGATTCTCTGCAACTAAGAGACTGGAACCCCTGATCTTCTTTTCCATTTGCATTACCTATACTGTTGCTTTGCTGGGCAATTTTGTCATTATTACTTTGGTATGGTGTGATCACAGCCTTCATAGTCCAATGTACATCTTTATTGCCAATTTATCTTTTTTAGAGACCCTTTACACCACCACAGTTATTCCCAAAATGCTAGACAACCTCATGAATCAAAGAAAATCCATTACCTCTCAAAATTGCATTCTGCAAGCTTACTTCTACTTCTCAGCAGGTTCCACAGAGTTCTTCCTTTTGGCTGTTTTGTCATTTGACCGTTATATTGTCATTTGCGATCCACTGCTGTATTCAGCTATCATGAACACACCATTTTGCATCAAACTCTTAGCTGCCTCTTGGA